CTCTTGCTCTTCCCCTCACTAAAATTTTTAATCTCTCACTTTCCTCTGGCACATTTCCCTCACCCTTCAAACATTCAACTGTAACCCCAATTCTGAAAAAGCCCAGCCTTGACCCCAACTCCCCATCCAACTACCGTCCCAACTCGCTACTGCCATTTGCCTCCAAGATCCTCGGGAGAGTTGTGTACACCAGATTGGCTGACTTTCTCAAAACCAACTCTCTGCTTGATCCCCTTCAGTCTGGATTCTGCGCTGGTCATTCTGTCGAAATGGCTGTGACCAAAGTATCCAACAATGTAATTGCTGCTAAATCTCGCAGCCATTACACTATCCTAATTCTCCTTGATCTTTCTGCTGCCTTTGACACTGTTGATCATAAACAGCTTCTTCGCATTCTCCGTAATTTTGGTCTATGGGATACTGATCTCTCCTGGTGCTCCTCCTACTTCTCCCAGCACTCTTCCAGTGTTTCTTTCTCTGACTCTGCCTCTTCCCCCCAACCACTCTCTGTCCTTGGTCCCTGACTGTTCTCTATCTACACTGCCTCCCTTGGTAAACTCATCAGCTCGTTTGGCTTCCATTATTATTTCTATGCTGATGACACGCAAATCTACCTGTCCTCTCCTGATCTCTCTCCGCCCATCTTGACTCGTGTCTCTGACTGCCTCTTTTCGATTTCAAGATGGATGGCTGCTCACTTCCTTGAACTCAACCTGTCCAAAACAGAACTTCTGATCTTTCCGCCCTCAAGTGTTACTACTCCCGTGTTGTCAGGTATACTCTATCATTCATGCTGCCGCCGGAACCCACTTCCGGGTTCACGGCGCTTAGCCCCGCCCCTTTCTCTGACGCGGTCCTTCCACGATACTTAGGAAGACCGCGCCAGATTCAAAGGGCTGGATTATTCACTCAGGTGCTGCATTGAGATCAGCTGCTCTACTTGATGCTACCGGCTCCACTCCTCTCCCGACCTCGGCTTGTAAACAGATTTCTACCTTCTCCACTTCTCGTCCTCGGCTTGTAAAACGGACTTCTACCTTCTCCACTTCCAGACCTTGGCTAGTAAAAACGGACTTCCTTACTCTCCACTCCTAACGCACAGCTTATTAATAGAAACTCCTAATTTCTCCTCCATTGGGTGAATTAACCCTTCCATTGCCAGAACTGCCTCTAAGTTAAGTAAACCTTTTTGCCAAGGAAACCAATTCATATTAATTAATTTATACAGTATTTAAATTTCACAAAAATTCTCTCTTGTCAATAAGGGATTGCTACTAAGTCTAATTCTTCCCTGCATGTGTATTTAAAGATACAGTCAACCTTGTTCACTTCAATATAAAAGGAGGTGAAACTTATTGTTTCTGCAGTTGAGTTCCAATTAAAGAAGTATTACAAATAAGTATCACAGAATAATCCAGCCTCTTTCAATGGAACCAGCAGATATTAACTCACAAGTTTCTGCCCTAACCAATAGAGTGGATACGATTGCTCAAGGGTTACAGGAACTGCAAATCACGAATGAGAGAATATTAACCTATGTTAGAGACATGCAAGGCCATCTTCCTCATGCCGCTCTTCAATCGGCTGGTGATCCTGCTGTCTGTAATCCAGAAAAATTTTATGGAGATAGAACAAAGTACAGAGAGTTTTTGAATTCTTGCAAACTTCTGATAGCTTTAAAACCTAGATCTTATCTCACTGAAAGATCAAAAGTTTGTTCAGTAATTTCTTTTTTAAGAGGTGAACCTATGGCATGGGCTCATTCCTTTTTAGAGAATGATGATCCCATATTAGATTGATTGGATGAATTCTTTGAAGCTATGTCTTTATTATATGAAGATCCTTATAAACAGGCTACTGCTGATTTAAACATCAGAACTCTCCACCAAAAGAACAGACCTGTTGAAGATTATATTGCAGAATTTAAAAGATGGGCTACAGAAACCCAATGGAATGACATCACTCTACGCAATCAATTCCGTCTCGGATTATCAGAAGCTGTGAAAGATGAACTTTCTTGTACTGAACTTCCTCCCACCCTAAATGCATTGATTCAACTTTCCATTAGTATTGACAGACGTCTAAGAGAAAGAAGGGCTGAAAAAGTTCACACTTCTTCTAACTGGAGAAAACATTTTACTTCTCCAAAAATTCCTGAAAAATTTCTTCCTCAAAATGAACCTATGGAAGTTGGTATAATAAGAAGTCCTCTTACTTCTGAAGAAAGAATAAGAAGGAGACAACTAAACCTGTGTATGTATTGTGCTTCAAAAGAACATCTAATTCCAGAATGTCCTCTACTTAAACATTCAAAAGCTGGTAAGCTTCATTCATCTACCTCTATATTGAACGTTCTTCAAAAAAGAAAAACATCGACTTATTTTTCTATATCTCTTATATTACAGTGGGATACAAAAAGAATCGTGACTGAAGCCATTATTGATTCTGGTGCTAATGGAACCTTCCTTGATTTTTCTTTTGTTACAAAGAATAAAATTCCTTGTGTTCGAAAAACCAACTTTGTTTTGATGGTTCATTTATATCCTCAGGACCCATAAAAGATGAGACAATTCCTCTAAGAATGATTACCAACAACGTACATACCGAATTTCTTACATTTGATGTTATTAAATCTCCACTTTATCCTGTCATTCTAGGAATTAATTGGTTAAAAACCCATGATCCTCTAATTAAATGGTCACCCTTCTCCATTTCCTTTTCTTCTGATTTTTGTAAAAAAACCTGCTTACAACATATTCCTATTCTCCAAACTACTCAAGAATCAGTTATACCTCCATTCTACTCTGATTTTTTTTGTAAAAAAGAAGCGGAAACACTTCCACCTCATCGAGTATATGATTGCCCAATAGATCTAATACCCGGTGCTCCTATTCCTTATGGTCACATTTATCCACTTTCTGAAAAGGAATTGCAGACCTTAAAAGAATATCTTAATGAAAATTTACGTAAAGGATTCATCAGACCCTCGACCTCCCCAGCTGCCTCTAGTATATTCTTTGTGAGGAATAAGGACCAAACCATCCGTCCCATTATAGATTATAGAGCCTTAAATAAAATAACCATAAAAAATTGTTATCCTCTTCCTCTAATAAATGAATTACTTGAAAGATTAAGGACTGCAACTATATTCACTAAACTCGACCTCCGAGGAGCATATAACCTCATTAGAATAAAACAGGATGATGAATGGAAGACCGCCTTCCGGACTAGATATGGTCTCTACGAATATCTAGTGATGCCTTTTGGGCTTTGTAATGCCCCTGCAACATTTCAACATTTTATAAATGATATCTTTAGAGATCTTTTGGATGTCTGTGTTATTATCTATTTAGATGATATCTTAATATATTCTAACAATTTGGATGAACATAGGAAGCATGTAAGATGGGTTCTATCTAGACTGAGAACTCACAAATTATACGCTAAACCAGAGAAATGTCTTTTTGAAGTTACTAAACTCTCCTTTCTTGGATACATTATTTCACCTCATTCTCTGAAAATGGATAACTCCAAAATCGAATGTATTATTAACTGGCCCGTTCCTACTACTACAAAAGAATTGCAACGATTTCTTGGATTTGCAAACTTCTATAGGAAATTTATTAGAAACTATTCAGAGGTATCTCATCCACTTAACCTTCTTAACAGTACAAAACGTCCTTTCAAGTGGAGTAAAGATGCACAAGCTGCCTTTGACAGATTAAAAAAAAGATTTACAACTGCACCTATTCTACAACTACCTAATCCAACATTCTTATATGTCCTTGAAGTCGATGCATCAGATACAGCTATCGGAGCAGTTCTTTCTCAACAAAAGACTCCTCAAGATCCACTTCATCCAGTTGCCTTCTTCTCAAGATCCTTGAGCTCTGCTGAAAAAAATTATCCTATTGGTGAAAAAGAATTATTAAGTGTTAAAGCTGCCTTCGAAAATTGGCATCATCTTCTAGAAGATACAAAACAACCTATAATAGTTTATACAGACCATAAAAATCTTGAATATCTCTATACTAACAAAACCCTTACGGCTAGACAAGTTAGATGGAACCTATTTTTTAACCGATTTAACTTCCAATTAATATACAGACCTGGAACTAGGAATAAAAAGGCTGACGCTCTTTCTCGAATTCCTTCTAAAACTACTATTGATGTTTATCCCCCTAACAAAATAATAGGGATCCTCTCTTCTCTTCAGGATGACATAAAGAATTTGAATCACAAGGATCTTGAACTTCCCAAAACGCCTAATTTGACAAAACAGGATGGTATATTTTACTTTAAAAATAGAATTTATATTCCTCCCATTCTTAGGAACAAATTACTTAAGATGGTTCATGATTCACCCCTAGCTGGACATCCTGGAATAAAGAAAACTCTTGAACTAACTTCACGATATTATTGGTGGCCTCGCCAAGATAAAACCATTGAATTATATGTCAAAACTTGTCCTATCTGTCAAAGGTCCAAATCTGAACATAATCAACCTTTCGGATTACTACTTAACTTACCCATTCCAGAAAAACCTTGGCAATCCATTTCTATGGATTTTCTCGTTGACCTTCCACCATCTCGACATTTCACCACTATTCTTGTTGTTGTGGACCGCTTCACAAAAATGTCCCATTTCATCTCTTTAAAAAAATTACCCTCCTCCGTAGAATTGTCCAAAGTCTTTATTGATAATATTATAAAACTCCATGGTCTTCCAGAAGAAATTATTTCTGATAGGGGGACACAATTTACCTCCAAATTCTGGAAGGAGATGTGTCTCTCTCTTCAAATTCAACGCAAACTCTCTTCCGCCTATCATCCCCAAACTAATGGGCAAACAGAGAGAGTTAATCAATGTTTGGAACAATATCTCCGATGTTATTGTTCATACCTGCAAGATGACTGGACCACATGGTTACCTATGGCTGAATTTTCTTACAACAATACCATTCATTCTAGTACGAAAATGACTCCTTTCTTCTCCAACTATGGTTTTCATCCGTCCTCATTTCCCATCCAAACTATTACTTCATCCAATCCTACGGTTACATCAAAAAATGAATTTATGTCCTCTCTATTCCTCAAATTACGGGAGAATCTTCAACTCGCTCAAAACTACCAGAAAAAGTTTTTTGACAATAAAAGAAGAATTCCCCCTCCTTACAAAGTAGGGGATCTTGTCTGGCTCTCTTCAAAAAATATTACCACAAACCGTCCTTCAAAGAAATTGAGCTCTCTTTTTCTTGGTCCTTTTCAAATAATTACAATTATCAATGATAACGTTGTTAAATTAAAACTTCCTCCAAGTTTTAAACTTCATCCAGTATTCCATGTCTCTCTTCTTAAACCACACATCCCTGATCCTTTTCATAGAGAAATAGTTACAACTCCTGAACCTATCATCGTCCAAGGTGAAGAAGAATATGAAATACACAAGATTTTGGATTCACGTGTCCACCGTGGCACCTTACAATACCTTATTAGATGGAAAGGTTATGGAGTTGATGAAGATACTTGGGAAGATTCATCTAATGTTCATGCAAAAAGATTAGTTGATGCTTTTCACAAACGCTATCCCTCTAAACCAAAGTAAGTGCACCCAGAGGATGCCCCATGAGAAGGGGGTACTGTCAGGTATACTCTATCATTCATGCTGCCGCCGGAACCCACTTCCGGGTTCACGGCGCTTAGCCCCGCCCCTTTCTCTGACGCGGTCCTTCCACGATACTTAGGAAGACCGCGCCAGATTCAAAGGGCTGGATTATTCACTCAGGTGCTGCATTGAGATCAGCTGCTCTACTTGATGCTACCGGCTCCACTCCTCTCCCGACCTCGGCTTGTAAACAGATTTCTACCTTCTCCACTTCTCGACCTCGGCTTGTAAAACGGACTTCTACCTTCTCCACTCCCAGACCTCGGCTAGTAAAAACGGACTTCTACCTTCTCCACTCCCAGACCTCGGCTAGTAAAAACGGACTTCCTTAATCTCCACTTCTAACGCTCAGCTTATTAATAGAGACTCCTAATTTCTCCTCCATTGGGTGAATTAACCCTTCCATTGCCAGAACTGCCTCTAAGTTAAGTAAACCTTTTTGCCAAGGAAACCAATTCATATTAATTAATTTATACAGTATTTAAATTTCACTAAAATTCTCTCTTGTCAATAAGGGATTGCTAATAAGTCTAATTCTTCCTGCAAATATCAATTTATTCTAATTGCAAGCATGTCCAGCTTCATTAACTTAATTTTCATAAATCATTCCATCTTAATTAAGTTGGAACTAGCATTGCATTTCTTCCCTGCATGTGTATTTAAAGATACAGTCAACCTTGTTCACTTCAATATAAAAGGAGGTGAAACTTATTGTTTCTGCAGTTGAGTTCCAATTAAAGAAGTATTACAAATAAGTATCACAATTACCTGTGCTGTGCACTACAGCAGAAAGGCAGCGGGAGATTAGAGAGGTCAATGTGTGGCTGAAGTCTTGGTGCAGGAAAGATAGTATTGGGTTTTTAGAGCACTGGGCCAATTTTGCGCTTGGTTACAACCTGTATAGTCGTGATGGATTACACCTAAACGGAAGAGGGTCTGCTGTGCTGGGGACTGGGATGGCTAGAAGGTTGGAGGAGATTTTAAACTAGCAGTAGGGGGGAAGGGTCAAAGCAATCTAGAAAATGGAGATAGGATAGAAAGGAGATGGGCTTTAGCTCAGTATAAGGGGGTGGAGATGGGGGGAGGGGAAAACTCAAAATAGAGGAGGTATGTAATATTGATAATTCACAAAAAGTACAAATGACTCATGGTAATATTAAATGTAAGGAGCCTATATAACAAAATGGGGGAACTAGAGGCAACAGCATACACTAAACAATATGATATAATAGGCATAACAGAAACATGATGGGATGAGACACATGACTGGGCAGTTAACTTAAATGGGTACACGTTATTTAGGAAGGATAGGAAAAACAAGAAGGGTGGTGGGGTATGTTTGTATGTCAACCATGAGTTAAAGTTAAATCTTGTGTCAAATCTATATGTCCTCTATATATCCTCCATATAACCTCTATATATCTTCTATATAACCTCTATGTAACGGATCCTCCTGTTTTTTCTTTCGTTGAATCTGTAATATTGTGCAAGCCATTAGTTTAAAAACTTTCGTTTAAATTGACTTAATGGATGCTAGAATAAAGGCTGTTCGAATCACAGATTTTTCGCCGAACAGCCGACCACCCAGTATAGAACTATGGCTCTCATTTACCCCCCTGACCCCAATAACACCTTGAAAACCACGAACACTCCATCAGTTTTATTGTTATACCGGGTGGTCGGCGTTCGTCTGCATGAACACGTGGCGGCGGCCATTTTGTTTAGTCAAATGCACTCAGCGGTGTTTGGTCGTCGAACGCGTGGAACTATTTTTCGGCTCCTCTTTTCCACAAACACCGCTGAATCTTCCATCCTCCGTGTGTTCTGCTAAATTCATACGAACAGAGCGCTCTTTCGCCAAAATAAACTCACGAACAAGCCGCATCTAAAGAGAGTAAGCACGAACTGATCCATTCATGCAATTTTAACTTTATTCGAATGGAAATGTACACCGACCGCACAGCCTGAACCTGTGGAACTGTTTTGGGCATGCGAACAGGTGTGCGGTCTGTCCAAAGAGACTTTTTACTATCTCCTGAACCCCTGAACAGATTTACGTGAATTTTGGATATGTTTGTCCCCAAGTTACGCTGTTTATAAAAATATAAGTTTTGTGCCTATTATGTGAAAAATTGTGACGTTATAAAAAGTATGATTTTTCAGCTTGGAGATAATTGAGTAGATACAGTAAGTAACTCAATTATTTCCCAAGCAGAGGGGTGGGAATATGTGGGATGTAACCATTGTTTGATTGGTCAATGTATAATTGTCTATGGGCGTCTCCCTTGCATGGGAGCACTGCATAAAAGGAGAGTACCTGCCATTAAACCTTCAGTTCTTCTTCACCCTCAATCTAGAATCTTGTCTCTTATTGGGGGTAACCGCTATACAGCTCTTCACACTAGCTCTTGTAAGAGCTTCTTCATTTGGATCACGACTGGATGCTTAGAATCCTCCTCACTGATCAGGAAAAGGACACCCTCTAGAGGTGGAAACCCCTCTGCTACCCGGGGTAACCGCTACACTCTATATATCCTCTATATATCTTCTATAAAACCTCCATATAACCTCTATATATCCTCTATATATCTTATATATAACCTCTATATATCCTCTATATAACCTCTATATATCCTCTATATATCTTATATATAACCTCTATATATCCTCTATATATCCTCTATATATCCTTTATATATCATCTATATAACCTCAATAAACCCACTATATAACCCCTATATATCCGCTATATATCCTCTGTATAACCTCAATATATCCTCTAAATACCTCTATATAACCTCTGTATATTCTCTATATAACCTCTATATAACCTCAATATACCCACTATATATCCTCTAAATAACCTCTATATGTCCTCTATACATTATCTATATATCCTCTATATGTCCACTATATATCCTCTATATAACCTTGTAGCGGAGAGCTGGTATTACACAGTCTATCTCCACTTGTAGATCCCAGTGAGGCTCAGGAACAAGTAATTATAAATCCATAGGGCAAAGTATCCAGCAGGCAAAATAACACAGCAATCCCAATAACTGGACGGCACACAGTATCAGGAGCAGAACTAAAGATTTATTCACGCAGTGGCCTTATAAAGCATGCTCCCATGCAAGGGAGGGATTTACAGTCATTAGTACAGTAGCCAATCCTGCTCTGGTAACCTCCCACACATCTCCTCCCTCAGCCAGCATCATAATCCCCTTATCCAGGACACCAATTCCCCCTGTTTCTGGATGTACCCCTAAACCTAGGGGTACCGCTTTAAATCCTACATCCCCTGGTAGCCCTGATCTGGGTGAACAACATATCCAAAAATCACCCAGATCAGACCAGGGGTTCGGGAGATTTATGGAGGGAATAAAATAACCGACCGCGCTGGAAAGAATAGCCGAATGGGGTTCCATGCAATGGGGCCCTGTGGTCGGTCCTGGAATAAGGGAACAAACTACACGAAAGCCTCCAGTTACAGAGACTAGGGAGGGTTCGCCAGAATCCCCTCGTTCGGTTGTTTCCATCTACCGAACGAGGGGCCGTTTGGTAGTTTGGAACCGAACGGACCGGGCTTGTGGAGGTCTCAGCGGTGTTCGCCTAGTCGAGTGTCCGATTTAAGTTCCAGACACTCGATGGCAAAACACCGCTGTTCGGGAGTTTTAAAATGGCAGCCGCCACGTGTTAGTTTCCCGAATGGCGGCCACCCCCGAGAACAAAGGACTGCTACTCAGCTTGTCAATTACCCGTTTGTAACAATGTTGCAATGGGTAATTGAAGGCACACTTCACACCGGGGAGGTCTGACTGTTCGGTAGTTTCATTCCCTTAGTTGTTGGAATGATTCTACCGAACAATCAGACGAATACAATACATTTAAGACATATAACTTTGCCATTTACACAAATGCAGTCAAAACGTATGTAATTTTCAGGACAGGCCAGTGCCATCCGCTACAAACCTCTGTATATTCTCTATATATACTCTATATAACCTCGATATATTCGCTATATAACCTCAATATACCCACAATATAACCCCTATATATCCTCTATATATAACCTCTATATGTCCTCTATATATCCTCTATATATCTTCTATATATCCTCTATATATCTTCTATATATCCTCTTTATATCCTTTATATATCCTCCATATAACCTCTATATATTCTCTATATAACGTCTATATATCCTCTGTGTAACGAAATTCCTCATTAAACAGACCATGCGAACTAGCCTGTTCGGTTATTTGGATGATTACAGCGGGATTTCGTAAAAATAGCGAGAAAAGCGAATGAACTGCCGAACCACCGACCTCCCACTGAGGTCGTGTGGTGCCTATTAACCACCCAGACTGTTGCGGTTAACCACAGACTAATTGGGGAATAGCTGGTGGTCCGCATTCGTTTACCGAACACGTGGCAATCGCCATTTTGTATTATCGAACGCTCAGCGGTAAATGGCGAGGATTCCCTGGAACTAATTTCAGCTACTTATTTTGTCGAACACCGCTGCTACCTCTTCAAATCCTCATTCATACGGTGGAAAAACACACGAATGAAGGAGATACTACTTGCGCTGCAAGTATGTGAAAGTGACCGACCCCAGATAGCTACAGTATGGAACTTGTAGTCGGCTACAAACACACGAACGGCTGGCGAAAGTCAAACTTCAGTCGACGTTTCTGAGAACTGTGTTCGTGGGATCTGAGCGCTATGCGCTTAGAATATGCACTCAGATCCAAGCTATCTGGGGATATGTGAGACTTAAAGTTTATGTTATGTAAAAGGAAAGTTATAGATTTTTATGCTGTTTTGCTAAAATAAGAAAAGCCATGTTTCTTTCTACCTGGAGATAATTAAGGCTCTCTTTGCTAGCTTAAGTTAATTATCTCCAGGAAGGAAAAGAGGGAGTGATTTATGTAAAAGGGGAGTGCTTATGCTGTAGCCACTGTGATTGGCTACTGTGATACTTTTGTCCCAGTCTTCCATCTGGTCCCCTAGGGGAGTGTCCACCAGGTGGGAGACCTGCATAAATACCGGGCGGGTAGCCCACAGTAAGTCAGATCGTTTTACGCCTACATGAAGTCTCGACTCATGTTTGGGGCATTGGGAGTTATAATCACTTTGTTTCAGCTGGATTTCGGGAGATAAGCTGCAAGGATCATCGCTGCACGAATAGAAGGATCCTTTACACTGGTGGCAAGCGGCGGGATTTCCTCCTGAACGGACGTACCGAATCGAAACAAGTGGTGAATAGCGCATAGATACGAACGCTTGAAACGAACTACATTGAAGGAACTGCTGGAAGCTCGAGGCATAGTGGCAAGCAACAAACCGAAAGCCACGTTAATAGCCGAACTACTGGAGAGCGATCCAACTGGCGAACAACAAATGGCGAATGCAGAGGAAACAGAGTTCCAGAGGGATGTGAGATGGAGACTCAGCCTGGTAGGACTGAGATCATGGTACAGATCTTGGCACAAGCTACAGAGATCCAGAATGCCAGGGAAGCCTGAGAAGCCAGAGACAGATCACCTCCTGTGGATATATTGTCGCTGTGACAGACCCATCCGTATGGACTAAAAATACTGTGTTCGTCTGTTTTGCTGTTTGCATGAATTTCCCCATTCGTATGCCTTGGTCAAGGGAATGTATTTTTTTTGTCGAACGGAACTACCGAACGGACGGCCACCCAGAAGAGAAGTGTGCTGCTGGTTAACCTATTGATCCCAATTAGAACATTGCGGTTAACCACAGACACTTCTCAATTAAAACCGAATACCGGGTGGTCTCCGTTCGTATGTCGACCACGAGGCGGCGGCCATTTTGACTATGCGAAAGCCCAGCGGTGTTCGACGATTATTTCATGGAACTCAAAACGGACACTTTTTCAACCGAACACCGCTGAAGCCGTCGACCTCCCCTTCTTCATCGACAAAAGCATACGAATACCGGCCGTTTGGGAGATTTAACAACACGAATGGACTTAACCCAGATAGCCTTCCCATGGAGTCAATCGCATACCGAAGAGCTGTAACAGACTTTGACTCCATGGCGATTGAACTATGCGTATGGAACTGACGTTCGGCAGTTATAAAGTTATGGATTTTAATGTGTTTTATAACTTTGAGTTAAAATGGCGATGTGCCTCTGCTCGGGGAGATAATTGAATTACTTCCCAATTATCGAGCAGAGGGGAAGAAACTGTGATGCATGCTGGGAATATTGTGGGGATGTATGTCCAGAATGTTCCCATGTCCTTCTGTTATTTCAGTCTCCCATTTAGTCCCCTAGGGGAGTGTCCACCAAGTGGGAGACCTGCATAAATACGGGCAGGTAGCCCACAGTAAACTCAGTTCGTGTTTTACCCTCAAAGCGGAGCTTGGTCTCGTTATTGGGGGGATTTTATTACCGGCGACTAGAGACTGCTCATTGGAATTATTTGCCGCTTGGAAACTATTGCCGTTCGGCTGCTAGTGGCGATTCGTGCATTTGGAGCTTGGGAAGGGAAAGAGCCGTACAGGTACCGTTCGGGAGTTTGGAGTGTTCCCTAGCTGGCAGTTCGCATGGTTATACTGCATACGCTACCAGACCACATTATTGTGAACGGGGAGCATTCACTAAACGGCGGTTTGTGCATTTACTACTGGAGGTACCGTAACAGTCGCTATCTGGATCTACAATGGGGCGTCAGCGGAAAATCAACTACGCTGCATTTAAAAGCTTCGTGGAAGGTGAGATGGATATTGATAATTACTTTTGAGATTTTGAGAGACAATGTGTAAGAGAAGATTTGGAAAGAGCTAACTGGGCTGCAGTATTAAGCAGCAAATTATCAGGTTGAGCAGCTGAAGCGTTGAGAGCTTTGCCAGATGGGGATATACAGAACTACGAAAAAATAAAAGAGATTTTGTTGGCTCGGTATGCTGTAACTCCTGAAGCCCATAGAAGGAAATTTCGGGCGCTCAGGAGGCAAGGCAAGGATTCGTATACTAAGTGGGCATTTCGTATGCAACGCGCTGCCAGTAATTGGATGCAGGGAATCAGGCAACTACCTTAGAGGATGCTGTGCAATTGATATTACTGGAGCAGTTTTTTGATTATACACCAGCGGAGGTGAGAGACTGGGTCAGAGATAGAAAGCCAAAAACAGTGGAGGAGGCAGCAAGGCTGGCAGACGAATTTCATGAGAGCAGACGGATGGATGGAAACCCAGGGTTCCAGGGCCAGCGGCCTGCATCTGGTCCGCCAGCTATGCCACAGAGGGTACCACCACCGGGGGGCAATACCACAACCCCGGGGTACCAAAAGACCGCTCCAATGTGTTATGGGTGCAAGCAAGTGGGGCACATCAAACCTAATTGCCCACAACGCACTACAGACCGCTGGGGGCGGACACCAGTACCACCGACCAAAGCAGCCGCACACTGTGTGCAAGAGGATTACAACTCTCTGACTCAAGAGACACCCAGTAACCACAGTGAGAATTGGGCCACCGTACATGAGGTGAACCCTGTGCAAGCGCCTGGGGATAACAGGGCGCACCACCGCCAGTCGGTAAAGCTAAATGGACAAGAGGCTCGGGGACTGAGAGACAGCGGGGCTACTATTACCTTGGTCCAGCCACACCGGGTCACCCTGACCCAGCACACAGGACGCACCATTGCTGTAAGGGTGGCCGGAGGGGCAATTCATAAACTACCAACAGCCCGGGTACACATTGATTGGGGTACGGGGGCCAAGGCCGTGGAAGTGGGCATCATGCCAGATTTGCCAGCGGAAGTGTTGCTGGGGAATGATTTAGGATGCCTGACGTCCCAATTGGCAGCCTGCAGTCCAGAAGGAGCACTACCTGTTACCACCCGGCAGCAATCCAGAGCTATGGAGGCCTCCCCCTCAACCCCTGACCAGGTAAGCAATAACCCTCTGACAATTCACCCTGACCATACTTCTTACTGGGGTACCCCTCAAGACTTTGAGCAAGCTCAGAGGGAAGATCCCACCTTAAAGGGATATCGGAGGGAGGCCGAACAACCCCAGGGAGACGGAGATCCGGCAAGGTTTAGCTGGGAAAAGGGTTTACTGTACCGAGTGACTGGGGGGACAGGGAAAGGAGCGGGGCAGGTAGAAAAAAGACAGTTAATAGTGCCCCGTAAGTATCGGGTAGAACTGTTACGGATTAGCCACGATATCCCCCTAGCAGGTCACTTAGGCATTAAAAAGACCAGAGACCGACTCACCCAATCATTTTTCTGGCCGGAGGTCACTAGGGATTTGGAGGATTATTGTAGGACCTGCGAGGTATGCCAAACGGAAGGGAAGAGAGGGGATCACCCCAGTGCAAAACTTCGTCCCCTACCCATCATTGAGGAACCATTTTTCCGAGTGGCAGTTGATTTAGTCGGGCCACTCAGCAAACCCAGTCCATCCGGTAAGAAATACATTCTTACTGTGGTGTACTACGCTACCCGCTACCCCAAAGCTATAGCTCTGTCAAATATACATGCAGAGACGGTAGCGGAAGCACTGGTTCAGGTATTTACTAGGGTGGGATTCCCTAGGGAGATAGTGTCGGATCAGGGAACCCAAGTCACAGCAGTGGTTACCCAACAGCTGTGGCAGAGCTGTGGGGTAAAACCCATATTAAGTTCCCCCTATCACCCAAACCAATGGCCTCTGTGAACGTTTTAACGGCACCCTTAAGCAAATGCTCATCACGTTCACAGAGACCTGTCGGAATTGGGAAAGATTCCTTCCCCATTTGCTCTTCGCCTATAGGGAAGTTCCCCAGGAGTCCACCGGATTCTCCCCATTCGAACTATTATACGGGAGACGGGTCTGGGGACCCCTGGATCTAGTAAGGGAACATTAGGAAGGTGATATGTTGATTTGTACTAGAGTTGAGGGACCGGCTGCAGGCTCTGACCGAAACAGTTCGGGAGAACCTGCGGGCCGCCCAACAACGGCAGAAGTACTGGTACGACAAGGGAGCTAGAGACCGTATATTAGAAGTAGGACAAAAGGTCCTAGTGCTTAAACCCATCAAAATGGATAAGTTACAAGCATCCTGGCAGGGCCCCTACACTGTAATAGAGCGGGTCAGTGATACCACATACATTGTGGCAGACTGTTCCGATGAAAGGATCCGGCGGTCCTTCCATGTAAATATGCTCAAGCCATATCTCGAGAGAACAGAGGAGGTCTCCGCGGTATGCGCTCCAGCGTATGAAGATAGTGAGGGTATGCTTCCCCAAGAACCCACAGGAGTAGACCAGGTACAGTTGGGTCCAGAATTAGGTCCCGAGGAGCAAGCTCAGGCTTCCCAACTGTTAAAGGAGTTTGGGGGCATGTTTTCAGCAGCCCCTACCGAATCCCCGAATCAGTACGGGAAAGCATGTTAAAGGAAATCCAGGACATGTTAGAACTGGGGGTCCTAGAACCGTCCCAAAGCCTGTGGGCTTCCCCAGTAGTCCTGGTTCCTAAGAAAGACGGTACCACCAGGTTCTGTGTGGACTACCGTAAACTAAACGATCGGACCGTCTACCCCATGCCCAGAGTAGACGAGCTGCTAGACCGTATGGCTGGGGGGAATTATTTGACCACTATTGATTTGTGCAAGGGATATTGGCAAATCCCCTTGGAGCCTGAGGCCATTCCAAAATCGGCATTTGTCACCCCATTTGGCCTATACCAGTTTAAGGTTATGCCATTTGGGATGAAGAATGCCCCAGCTACGTTCCAAAGGATGGCCGACCGGCTCCTAGAGGGATTTCAGGGCTTCGCTTGTGCTTCCCTGGACGATATAGCTATCTTCAGTGGCACTTGGGAAGCCCACCTGGAGCACATCTCAGTAGTGCTCAACGGAATTCAGAACGCAGGGCTCACCTTGAAGCCAGAGAAATGCCACGTAGGCATGGCTGAAGTCCAATATTTAGGCCACAGAGTAGGGTCAGGAAAACAGAGACCAGAGCCAGCTAAGATTGAGGCCATCACCCAGTGGCCCCAACCCCGGACTAAAACACAGGTCATGGCGTTCTTGGGCACCGCAGGTTATTACAGGAAATTTGTAGCGGAATACAGTGCACTCGCCAAACCCCTGACAGACCTCACCAAAAAGTCCCTACCCCGACAAGTAGTCTGGTCCACTGAGTGTGAGGAGGCTTTCCAGAAACTCAAGGCTGCGTTAAGTGCATGTCCTGTGTTGGTGGCACCTGATCATACTAAAAGGTTTCTCGTTCACACAGATGCCTCAATGTTTGGACTGGGAGCAGTATTGAGCCAGGTGGGAGACGACGGCATGGATCACCCGGTGGCGTATCTGAGCAGAAAACTATTACCACGCGAAGTCAGCTATGCCACCATGGAAAAAGAGTGTCTGGCATTAGTTTGGGCACTTAAAAAAACTACAACCTTACCTGTATGGACGCTCTTTCACAGTGCTGACGGACCAGTGCTTAACAGAGTAGCTGGCGATAACCCCCGACTACTCAGATGGAGCTTGGCACTGCAACCCTATAATTTTACAATGCAGTATCGCCCCGGGAAGCAGAATGCTAATGAAGATGGCCTGTCGCGGCAAACTGAACTGGAGAAGTAGTTATTTGGTTCGTTTTTCTTGTTTTACCGGACATCCCTTAGCCGACCCGTTAGAATCTAAGCAGGTATGCCATTCCATGGGACTAAGGGGGAGCTGTGTAATGAAATTCCTTATTAAACAGACCATGCGAACCAGCCTGTTCGGTTATTTGGATGATTACAGTGGGATTTCGTGAGAAAAGCGAATGAACTACCGAACCACCGACCTCCCACTGAGGTTGTGTGGCGCCTATTAACCACACAGTTGCGGTTAACCACAGACTAATTGGGGAATAGCTGGTGGTCCGCGTTCGTTTTCCTGAACACGTGGCAATCGCCATTTTGTATTGTCGAACGCTCAGCGGTAAATGGCGAGGATTCCCTGGAACTAATTTCGGCTACTTATTTTGTCAACACCGCTGCTACCTCTTCAAATCCTCATTCATACGGTGGAAAAAACACACGAATGAAGGAGATACTACTTCATTAGTGCGCTGGAAGTATGCGAAAGTGACCGACCCCAGATAGCTACAGTATGGAACTTGTAGTCGGCTACAAACACACGAACGGCCGGCGAAAGTCAAACTTCAGTCGACGTTTCTGAGAACTGTGTTCGTGGGATCTGAGCGCTATTCGCCTAGAATATGCACTCAGATCCAAGCTATCTGGGGATATGTGGGACTTAAAGTTTATGTTATGTAAAAGGAAAGTTATAGATTTTTATGCTGTTTTGCTAAAATAAGAAAAGCCATGTTTCTTTCTACCTGGAGATAATTAAGGCTCTCTTTGCTACCTTAAGTTAATTATCTCCAGGAAGGAAAAGAGGGAGTGATTTATGTAAAAGGGGAGTGCTTATGCTATAGCCACTGTGATTGGCTACTGTGATACTTTTGTATCCATCTGGTCCTTTCTTCCATCTGGTCCCCTAGGGGAGTGTCCACCAGGTGGGAGACCTGCATAAATACCGGGCGGGCAGCCCACAGTAAATCAGATCGTTTTACCCCTTCATGAAGTCTTGACTCATGTTTGGGGGATTGGGAGTTATAATCACTTTGTTTCAGCTGGATTTCGGGAGAAGCTGCAAGGATCATCGCTGCACGAACTGAAGGATCCTTTACACTCTGTATAACCTCTATATATCCTCTATATAACCTCTGTATATTCTCTGTGAAGGACTTTTATGTATTTGCCTATATGCTTCAGTTTAATCCTCTCCCTGCTATTTTAATGTCTATATTGTTCGGTTCAAACTGTTGAGAATGAATGTATTCGTGTACCGAACGGGGACCACACACCCTGGGTAGCAAGTAGCAATTAGAACACAGAGAAAACCGCAACTTAATTGCTACTAGGTGGCCGCCATTCGACATACGAACACGTGGCGAGAACAAAGGATGGCGGCCATCTTAAAACTCACGAATGCGGTCAGCGGGGCTTACGCATGAATTGCATGGAACTGTTTTCGGTACGGGAACCATGCGAACGCTCGGTCCCCATGGAAGTCCTGCATGAATACGTTCCCCTTCACGAATCAAACTGGCGTTCGGTAGATAGTATCTACCGAATGAGGGGAACATTCACAGGTAACCAGCTCAACCATACGAACGGTGGTTTTCGTGTAGTTAGATGCGAACGGAGACCGGCTCTTGCTACTGATTCTATGGAACTGTAACTCGGATACCTCCACATGGCAAGCCGGTCAAACTTCCACACGATGCGACACGGAAACTACCGAACGGAAATTCGTGAGATTTGGATATGTGACTACCAGTATCCTCAGCTACCCAGGGAGTATATTTGTATGTCTTATAAAAAGTATGTTTCTGAAATTGTTATAAATTGTAATGTTTCTGGCCAGCAGATAATTGAGCTTTGTGTATTGTAGAAACTCAATTATCTAGCCTGGCCCAGAGGAGGAGTTTTGTGTTGCATAAATTGTGAGTTCTGTGTGCCAGTAAATCAGTCTTGTTCCAGCATTAAGCTTTGGCTCATGTGTGGATTATTCTGCTTATGGAATATTGAGGGCTTTTCTTTTATGGGAAGAAGGGAATGCTTGACGGGGATATTTTCTACTACCGTCACAACTGGTGGTAGCGGTGGGATTTTCCCTTCTTGTCACGATTCGGGGAACCAAACACGCCAACACACACACACACACAAAGTGCCGTACCGGACCTTAGAGTGGCCGGGCTAAGCACACAAAGAATAGTCAGGAAACAAGCCGAGTAAAGGGGAACCAGAAGACAGAATAACGTGAAACAAGCCGAGGTCAAAGGGTAGGAGAAAGTCACAAAGTCGGATAAACAAGCCAGAGAGTACGTAACCA